AATCCAGTTATAAATCATTTTTCATCCCACAAACTCATACTGAAACTTCACTAAGATATCAATACATTTGGAAATAGGAACTGAGAAAATTTTTTAAAAAATTGCAAGGCTGCTTTAACAGTAACAGACAGTGCATCTTCCCAGGTTTTGTTTTAACATTAGGACACTTCTTCATATCACCTCTGCTAAGATATCTACACTACATAACTAACGTCACTTCTACTTCTCCCCTTTTCTACATATTATTTTTAGGGAAATTAGTAAACTAACTGAAAAGTGGTTGCTGAGAGTTGGTGGTAGGGCAGAGGCATGGATCAGTACTTAACAAGGTGATTTTTTTTTTGGTTTTTTTTTTTTTTTTTTCCAATCTCCAAATTGATTTCTACAATGGTTATCACCTAACATTTACAACACACTGTCAATAAATCAAGCCATTTCTTGCATGGAAAGGGAACTGGCCAACAGTATATATTTTATTACACTGTGCATGAAAAAAATAGAAAAAACCTTTAAGTACAAAGAAACCAAGCAGGACAGCAAATCAAAGCAGTGATAATAGTAACACACACACGCATTACTCAAACCACATTAGCTTTCTGTTTGCCACCAGAAGAACTTGAAGACAGAATTATGATTTCTGTTCTTCATTGTTCAAAGTCACCAAGCCAATATTCTGTTAACCAAAAGTAGCTTTTACCTGCTACAAACTATGAGTATCCAGATAAAGAAATGAATGAAACTATGAGTTCAGAAGGTTTCATGCCTTCTCAAGCGAGTACATTAGATCTAGAAGCTCTCACTGTCACCTGTTACTGTGCTGTACAAAGGGTCACCAGCTACTCCTGAACCTCCCATCTCCCAGGTGAACCCCAGCCATCTGCCGTCCCAGTGCTCCCAGACCATTCCAGTGCAATCAGTTCAATTGCAACACCAAGCAGAGAGCAAAACTATGATCCAGACAGTGATCCATCTGCAGCTTAAATGCACTCCAGCTCAGGCACGTTAAGTATTAGAATCACTCTCGGTGCTTGCGATTTTGCAGCTACAGCCAACACCGATGTCAACCAACCTGTGTTCCCTGTAGCAGCAGATAGCATCACTAAGAAGTGCAAGTTTTAGCACATACATTCCCACAGGCCAAATACAGAAATAAGAGTCTATGTGGTTCAGATCTTAACTTTCTTTCCTGTGGTTTGTACCTGAGAACTATTAATACAGTATTGTAAGAAACATTTGAGTTTTTTGAAATTTAAAAAAAAAAAAAAAAAAAAAAAAAAAAAAAAAAAGGCTTTTGCTACACAGGGGCAATGATAACATCTGACAATCACTTACTACTCCTTCTAGAGAAACTCACACTGAAAGTAACAAGAGGCCAACTTGGAAGATTTGTAACAACCCAGCTACAGGCTGACACAGAACCAGAACTACCATGATAGTGAAACAACAGAGGGAAGACCTGTTTCTCTGCACTCAAATGCAGCTGACCCTGCATTACTGCTGTTTAAACTCACAAAACAACCTCCACAACTGTGTGTAACAGAGCTCTGGAAAAAAAGCTTATTCCCAAGGAAAGAAACATCTGTAAAGGCCAGCATCCTCACAGGGAATCATCCACAAGTTACTCAGTGCTGGGATAATCACTACCCACACCTGGACATTTCTCTTCATTGTGTGTTCTGATTACAGCCTTTGGTCATTGGTAAACAAATCCCAGAGTATTTGACCACAGTCTCCATCCCTTCAGAGTGCAACCATACATAACAGATTGTTGTTGTTCCCAACCTGAAATACTCTGGACTAATTACTGAAGTATAAAGTTACTCCAAACAGAATAGATTCAACAGTTCTGGCAATGATTTACCCTAATCCATATTTACTAACAGGCAAAAAGCTGAAGTCAGACACAAACTTAATCATATTAGCTTTTCTCTCAAATGTTCAAGTGAACAATATGTAAGACTGGGAACTGGACTCACTACATTTGGTTACAAACAGACATGGTACCCCCTCCACCTCTACATGTACTGCACAGCTCTGGTAGCTCCAGTATTACAGAACAGAAGGATAATTTAAAATACAGAAGTCCTCCCACCCAGGTGAGTTTAAACAGGGCTTGGAAAAAAAAAAATGACACAAATTCAGATAATATTAAAAAAGTCAGTTAAATCATGATAACATGAAAACAATTTTATACAGCATCCAGTTAGGCAATGTTCTAAGCTACATACTGGCTTAAAGTAAGGATGAAAAAACCACACATCTCCTCTATAACTGAAACTATTTTCTAGCAGCTACTAACCACACAGAATACCAAGCAATGTAGATCTGTGGTCTTATCTAGCACGGCTTTGTGTATTACAGCAAGTAACCAAGGCACAGGTAATAGGAGAAGAATCAACTTTTTTTTTTTTTTTTTTTTCCTTAAATCTCTGTTTGGGGGGAACACAAGAAACAAATAAATGGGCAAAATGAATCTTGTTTTCAAATACAATGACAATGAAATCCTTTGATACGTAAACAGAAAAAGTATTTATTTCAGTAGGTCACTTGCACATTGCAGCTACTGTGGAGCTTCTATACATACTTGTGTCTCTTTGTAAAATTCAGCAGAAGTACACAAGTACCAGCTTAAGTCCTTTCTATCGCTCTTCAGCAAATGCATGCCTACCAGTAAAGCCTGGTATGATTTCAAAACACTTCTCAGACTTGCTGGGTAGCTCCACTCAACCAAAATCTCATCTCCCTGACCACAAGACAGAAAAAGCACTCGTTTATTCCTGTGAACTGTTGAGATCCATTTATATCTTCATCTACAGAAGTCCAAGGCATAATGAATTTAGCTGAGTGTTACAAATTTAGTTAGGTGTTTATAAATAAAGTATTTGTGGGATGCTGCTGCTTGTGCTGTCCCCTGTTCTTCGTACAGCAGACAGTTTCTAGTCTTTACTATCTGCCATTTGCATTACATTCATCTGCATTAAATTCATATCCATTGAATATAATTTTGCTGAAAAAATATGACACAAACCTTTGTATTTCTAAACCTAGAGCCCACAGCAGTTTCTTTAAAGAGCCATGTTAAAACACTGGTACAAGGAAACAAAAGGACAACCTTTGTTACAGAAAAAAATCCTAAAAAAGCCCATATCAATAGTATATTCCAGAGCATTGCTAAATTTGCTGTTCTACACTTCCTTATGCTAAGGAATAGTTTCCCTTCTGCACATCTAAGTATCAGCTAACATACACTTTGGTTACAGCCAGCCACATTAGAATGCAAACTTCATATTACTACTTGGGTGCAATTACCCTATTAATTAAGTTAATGAGTGAGGCACTGAGGTGCTCAAAACTGTCTGGAGGCTAAACAATGCCCACTGGGAATGACAATCACAGTATATGCACCAGTCACAATCTCAGCAGCACACGGGTCCTTTTCCCACTCTGCCCCCACTCACACAATAACAAAGCATCATCACAGACTTAAGCTAACTGTACTTTCACATTGGGAAGGCCAACTGAAACAGAAAAATGCATGAACATATTGTTGAGATTAATCTCTTTCTTTTTTAATATTCAAAATATGGAAAAGCTTTATCTGCAAATACAGAAGGAAAGGAATCCAGATGGGCATTTTCAGTTAACATTTAAATCACACTACTAGCTCCAGTGGCAGCTTTACACACTGTCCTTGAAGGACCAAGAAAATCAGTTCTGCTCTCAGCAGCATGTCATTCAGAAACACGAGAAAATGAGTTATCAACCAATATATAGCAAAGGTACCAGTAATCACAATCCTTACAATTGCACAGGAACCAAGATTCAAGTCAAGAAGTAATACTCTTCTCTTTAATGCCATAGCAATATACCATAACTACAGAACACATCATTTTCATTTGCACTGTTATGAACATTTACATCCTGCTACTGTCCTGATCTCATTCCAAGAGTTTTCTCTTCTAGTAGCCAAGAAATCAGCTCTTTCCACAGAAATTCAGTCATAATTTTTTTTGCAAGTTAAAAGAAAGTTTGTAAGTTTTAACGGTTATATCATCTGATGTCAGTAGCATATATCTTTCTGCACAATAAATGAAAACTTGTTGCATCAGAAGGAACAGACTTCTGCAAGCCAAACACTTCCCTCCCCTCCTGTCCACCCCCATACACCAGTAATCACGTGGGGAATGGAAAAAATGGTAAAGCTGGATGAGCAGCAGGACATGCAGTTTAGAGGATGAAATATACAAACTTCTCAGCATGGCATTTTACACTCAGGCTGGTATTAACTGTAAAGTAAATAAACACTGGATTTTCTAATGAAGGAAATCTAATAATTCTGGGTTTTCAGATTAATGCGAGAGAATGGGAGCATGTCACAAGTTAACTGAGTCCTTTCAAATAACTGCACCTTGCTGGTGGGCAAAACAAACAGCAATGCAGAAAGAAAAAATACTGCAGCAACAACTGAAAAAATCAATTAAAAAAAAAAAAGCAATACTCCACTGTATACATATATACAGAAATTAGATACAAAAAAAAAAAAAAACCTGGCAGCCTTTGACGAAGCATAAGGCCTCCCAACAACATAACAGGTTACTGACAACTGGTACAGTAAACATCAAGAGTTTTTGAGAAAAGAGCTCCAGAAATCACAGAGAATGATAAAAACCACAATGAGCTGCTAGAAGACAAGTCCCAAACCTCACAACAAGACTAGAAAATAAGACAGATGTACTCCTCACAACCAAAGAGGAAACAGATGAGTGATTAAGTCCATAGCAAGCACACAGTCTCTCAGCCTGTGACATAAAATTAACTTCCTCAAAAGCATCTTCTCTTAGAGCACTTTTTAATCAAAGACCAGGTCAGTAGTTCCCAGAACCACTTTTCTCACAGTCACCCATCACAACAAAACTACAACCATCTAGAAAAATTCCAAATGTTTTTCAGAAGTCTTCAGAAATTTGCCTGGAAAGATTACACGCTTTAGTAATACTTACTTCATGTTCTTGGTTTTCTTGTCCATCTTTGCCACTTTTTCCACTTTTGCCCGATTTTGCAGGTTCCTGAGAAAAATTTCAGTCTCAGTTATGTTAGGTAGATTTTAAAGTTGAGATGTTTGCTTTTTATTCAATTGGATGTATTAAAACTGATAGGACCAGCAAAGATGCAGTTTTACTGGAAGACCTTAACACTGAACTATCATTCTCTACAAAGCTGCTTTAAGGATTCTCCATCTTCAGGAAGGTTTTAGAGTTATATTTATGCCTCAAAATTGACTAATAAGGTGATTAGATATAGGCTTTTATTATTTAGCTTATAATGGACAAAGAACACAATTGATTAGAATCACATCTAAAGATTTCACTTTGCTGTCTTTGGGCTTTAGTCTCAGGAGTATTTACACTTAGTTCTGCCTTGAAAAAGAAGTTCTTGGAATACACGTTTTATACTTCATTACAGTGCCTATTCTAGATGGTCTATGCATGTAGTTTTAAAGCAGACCAATGCTCAGATTCTCTACTCCCTGCACTGTACCTGCAGCTTTAATCAATCCACAGCCTCTTTGCGAGACTTGCTTTTCTAAGAAAACCAAAGTTTGAATGCATTCAGTATGACCAGTGGCAAGGATATCGGGGGAAAAAAGTTAAAGCCCAAAAGCAACGTGAGTCACAATACCCATCTAACTTCAAAACATTACCAAAAAGCTAAAAAGCATGCAGAAGGCAAACAAAAAGGGTTCAGTGGGACAGCAGCTGGATGAGACAGACTCTATACATCACTGTTCTTGCTCTTCCCTCCTTCCCACGACGGCTAATCACCTACCACAGAGCGCAACCCAGTTAACTTCATGTCGGATTTACAACTTTCCTCATACTTCCACTTGCAGAAGCCCCTTCCGGGACTGACAAAACAACCGCTCCCGGTCACCGGGGCGGAGGGGACGGGAAGGCCCCGCTGAGCTCTCGTACCGATTCCCCCGGGCACAAATTCAGCTTACAGCCGGCCCGGGACGGCCCCCCCGCACAGCCGGAGCCGCCTCTCCCCGCTCACTCTTCCGCCAGCTCCGCTCAGCGCACGCTTCCATCCCCTCCCTCCTCACTCCTCCGCACGCCAAACCCACGGCTTCTCCCCTTCCCCCGGCCGCCCCCGAGCCCCGCACACCGGGACCCCCGGGGAGAGACGAGGCCGGGACCCCCCCGCCACAGCCCCGGGCTAGGCCCCGCGGGGGGACCGCCCCCTCCCCAGCGCCCGGAGGCGGGCAGCGCGGCCGCACACGGCGGCGTGCGGGAAAGCCGCGTTCCCCCCAGCGGCACGGAGCTCCCCGCCGCCCCTCGCCTTGCCTCGGGCCGCTCCTCCCCTCGGGGCCTCTACACCCCCACAACCTCCCCGTGGAGCTCGACCTCCCCCCTTCCCTCCCCGCTTCTCCCCGTCTCACTTTCTCCTTCTTGTTTTTATTCGGCATGGCCTCTTCGGGCGCCGCGGCCAGACACGCGCAACCCCCGGCGGCCCCGCTTGGCGCTGCGCCCACCCCGCGCTGCCGCTCCCCCCCCCCGGCTCCGGCGGCGGCGGCGACGGCGGCCTCAGCCTTCCGCCCGCCCCCTTCCTCCGCCGCCGCCCGCGGAGAGAGGGCAGCCCGCCCGCTCATTGGCTGCCTGCGTCACGTGAGCGGCTGCTCCGTAGCGTCACCTGGTAGGCGGGGCGTGCGGTGTCCTCCCGCCTCCCATCACGGTGTGGAGCGGTGGTTGTCTGGGCTGCGGCCTGGGGGCGGACTGGCAGAGCCTGAGCGATCCGCGTGCCGTTCCTGTCGTTTCCCTCAGGGAAGCGTCCCGAGGACCGTGCCTCAGCTCGTGGCTCATTGGGGCCCTCCGGAGCTCCCCTCTTTGCTGAGGGGCAGCCCAGGGGGGAAGCCAGCGTGTAAAAGGGGAAATAAATACTTTTTAAAAAGTTTACACATCTGAAGCATGCTGGTCCTTAGTGCAAATTCACTTACTCGTCATCAGTTTGAGGACTTCCCTGTATGCTTGCACTACACAGCCTTTGTTGCATTAGTCTCTTCCCTTCTTTGTTTTTAGGTGCTGAGGTATGTGTGTGTTTTTTAATGATGTTCCTCTGTACCAGAGATATTTTTCCAAAAGCAACTCTTAAATCTCACAGAAGTTGGAATGGAAAAATCAGAACGATCTCAGAGAAAAGAAGTTGTTACAAATTGTAGTTACCATGTGGCCTCACTAAGCCCCAAATTACCGTCAGCTGAGGGAAGACCATGGTGGCTATTAATCCTCCTAAAAACACCAGGACATGAAACATTTAAAATTTACATTGGATATGCTATTAAGTGCTAACTGTGCTGTGCTACTAAAGAACTGAAAAATTGCAACTTTACAAACAGCAGCAAAAATGAGAAATCCATCTAATTTCTTACTCAGCCCATGAATATCAAAGCCAGCACTAGCCAAGACATTCCATCAGCTGTCCTAAGTTGGAAGGGATGGAGAAGGATCATCGATCCATTTATATTCACCGTATTTGAACACACTGCTTTTGCTGCAAAGAGCAAAGAACTTTCCTCTTTTCCAGGCACTGCGAAGAATTCTACTGACTAGGGAGAGCTGTGCTTCAGTTCCCTTCCTCTGCGCTTCTTAAGTGGTAGGAAACAAATTATGTCTGCCTCTTATCCTTTCCTTAATCTTCTCTGGTTTGAGGGTTTAGAATTAAGGTGCCTTTATCACTGCTAAGAACCAGTCACAAATGAGTTACTACTACTAAATAGTAAGTAAATACAAGAGGAGAACATAGATTTTGAACATAGTAAGAGACGGTAAGAGAAACAAATCTACCTCCACCTGTAATTTGAAAGTCGATCAGTGTATCTCCATGCATTGATCACATTTGTATGGCTGAGGATAAACTCCAAAGATTCCAGTGGTTTGTTCAATTCCAGTTTCATAGAAGATTAAACTACTCTTAATTTCCAGCTGTGGTGTTCCTGCCTCACTCCCTTGCACTGATGCTAGTACTGTGCAGCCCCTTAAACTGGTCAGTATGCTAAAATGCTATGGGGTGGTTGGTTGTTGTTTTTATTTCCCTTGAACAAGCACACCACCACCTGTTTCTGTAAACACCAGTGCTGGCCGAAGGAAGGGGGTGGAAATATGTGGCGGGGGCGGGATGTGACCTCAACAGCCTAGATTTAGATCAGTTTAAGCAGCTTAATGAGTTTCTCATTGGCTCTTGGCCTCCTTTGTGCTTGCTAGTGCTCATAGTTTTTTCCAAATAATGGAAAAAACTCTGTCAGTATCATTACCCACCTACCCGTGAATAGCAGGAGCAAAAATTGGCTGCTTATTTTGCTGTTAGTTGGGAAGACCTTGAATCTATATATCAGGCTGAATACAGATTCAAGAGATGGCACTGACTCAGTTAACATTTGGGAAGTTTTCTTTGTGACCACAGATGTAGAAACTCTTATGAAAACTTGACTCCCCCTCACCTCATTTGCTAGGGAAGGAGTCTCATTCACCAGTAACAGAAAGCAATTGTATTTTTCAAAGCTGACTTTATTGTATGAAATAATCAGTGGGCGGAGGTGGTGTACAAGAGGAATAGTTCCATTTGTATGCCCTAATGTCTTTGCAAAATCTGAGAATAAGAGGAGTGACGTACATTTTCCTGCAGTACTGAGATGAAATCTTGTTTTTACTATGGTGTTACATCACTGTAGGCCTCATTATTCTGTTACTGAATGGTATTAAACATGAAAAGAAAGTGATGTAATACGAGTGTGAATGTGACTTTATTAATATTTATATTCACTTCTGTACGTGCTTCATGCAAACTAGATGTTTTCAAAAACAAGAACAGACTCAGACTCATTAGGCTATCTCTGTAATTAAATCAGTAAAAGCGAATGCATGCAGCAGAGCTATCAATCTTTATTTTTTATTTTTACTGTATTGACAGAATTGTTTAAACACACAAAAGTTAAAACACAGAATAATGTATTGTATAAAGCAGCTGCATAACATTTCATAACCTGAAATTAGGCCGTGTATCCAGCACATCAACAAAGGGGTAATATTTACATGGTTAATCCTTTCCAATTTTGCTGGATATTCTTTTTAAGTTTCTTCTTTTTTTTAAAATTCCTTTTTAAAGGTTAAGCATTTGTGCTCTGTTATGAGTTTACTGAACAGATCACAATCACTGTGACTGGGACATTCCCAGATGTATAGTGTGACTGCTTTCCAAGCACCATCTCTTGTTTAACTGGATGTATGCAAATTCAGCTTGCTAAAATGGCAGGATACTAACCGAGCAGTGAGCAGTTAATTTGACTCAGCTGAAACTATGCAACCGCACTTGTGGACAAGGTTTGAGAAGCCAGTGAACTGTCATCATTACACATAGTTGTCAAACACTGACAGACTGTTTCTCAAAATGCTTCTTTATTGACTGTAGCAGATCTCGTCTCTTTTCTGGCTCCTTTTCTGGCACGTTCAAATGGAGAAATGAAAACTCAAGCACCAGTTGCAGTGAAGAGGCTGGACTGGATGGATTGAAATTAAACAGTTTTTCTAATCTTGTGTTCAGGCTAAACTACTAGATCTGGTAACTTGCCTCTGAGAAGTAGTGAAACTGCCATGTTGATCTGGGGGAATTGAACTACTTCATCAACCTTGAGCACCTGCAGGAGACTCTGCTTCTACACAATCTAGCATCAAAAGCTGCAAAGCCGCTATATTCCACTTCAAGGAAAAGCTGAAGTGTCTTTCAGAAACCTTCACTAGTAGATGTATTCACACACTAATAGATGTATTCTGCTTAACCTCAATTACATAAAATAGCACTTGGGCTGTTCTCAAGCTAAAGGGCTGAATTTTAGTTCTTTGCAGTTCTGTTACTGTCTGTTAGTTTTAGATGCGTAGCTGTCACATTCTACCCTGTTGTAAAAGTTACAAAATTATTTAATCAAGGCTGTATAGAGCTCAGACTACTGAGCTGATGAGTAGCAGATCAAATTTCAGAACTTTTCACATATTACGAGATAATATTTCAGCATTGCCTGTGACCACGTAGATACAAATGACAATTATTGGCATCGCTTGCGCAGAACCAGAATTGCACATTCAAAACATTAAGAACCATAATGAATTGATATAATCATATATATGTATAATAGTGTCAGTATTAGATGCCTTCTAGCTGTAACGTTGCTAAGGTTGCTGGATACTTTCGTAAAACTCGGACTGGTCAAAAATGAAAAAAAGTACTTGTATGGCTGATTATACCATGTGGATCACAGCTTTAAGAATTTTCAGTGACTATATGTAATTATATCTGCACTGAAATACATAGGTTGCTCTGAAAGTAATGCCTCCTATTTATTTCTATGGAAACTACAACAGATGCAAAGAGCATAGTAATACTACTTGATAGAACAAATTCACAGCTACAAAACACTATTTTTTTTAACTTAGACACCACTGTTAGCTATGCCTTTTCACCGGCAATGAGCGAGAACCTGCATACTATGCTCATCAAAATCTGTATGACCATCTAAAATGTGATTTGTCTTTCCTGTTGCTGTCAGCACTGCCAAAATGCACTATCCACCACCTCACTGTGCTCACATATACTATGTGGTCTCCATAAACATTCAGTAAACATTAATAAATGGCAATGGGTGCTATTTTTTTTTTTCATGGAGAAATTTAGTGACACACCTTTGCTTCATAAACACTTTCATGCCAGATGCCGTTTTGTCAGACTGTCCATCTGTTGCCATCTGTCATGTGGTAGCAAAATGTAATGGAATACAGGTGGGAAAGTTCAGCCTTATATGGGAACTGTTGAGTCACTGCCTGAACCACTGATGGATTACCTGAGGAAAAGACTAGGTCAGCCACAGGAGCATAGCCTGTGACCTAGACCCATTTAAGGGCTGACTTCCACAGGTGAAGGATCTCTTTCTGGAGATCCCTTCTCCACAGTGGAGTGTCACTGTGAGCCTGAATCTTCAAATACAAGCGAGCATTCCTTCTCTGTTTGTTTCATTCCATTTCACCACAATATTCTTTCCAACTGTAACAAATGTGTACTGCCATACCACCACTATCTGCCTCTGATGCTGTGGGCCAACATAATCAAATCAGAGGCATTACTTTCAGAGCAGCTATCGTATGTGTAAGGTTCATCCAGGAGATGGGGGCCATGTACAAGACTACCTACAGTGCATGGCTGAGACCCATCATGGAAGCCCAGTCAGGAGGTCATGCTGGAAGGGGGCAGGACAGGGCACAGGTACAGCTATGATAAAGCAGGCTAGATTTGCTAACCCAGTCCAGAATTTAAATGGAGCTCTTGGACCAGCTGGCAATGTTGTCCCTTATGACTGGTAACCAGCCTGGTAACAGATATTGTCAGTAGTAGCTATTGTCTGTATTCATTAACACATTGATTCTGGATTTCTGTTAGGGAGAACTTAATCTTGAAATGAAAAAAAAAAAAAAAAAAAAAAAAAAAAAAAAAAAAAAGCCAGCAAAAAACAAGCATGGAGAACTCACT